ACGGATCAGTACAAAGGATGACTGCTTGGTTTGAATGAGGCTTTCTAACCTGCAAAGTGGTCCTTGACAAAGCAAGACAGGAATATTAGCCATGAGCAAAAGATGTCTTTCTTTTTTGTGTGTGTGACACTAGGAATGGAATCCAGGGCCTTTGCACTGAGCTATATCCCCAGCCCTTTTCCATTTTTTATTTTGAGACAGGGTCTTGCTAATTTGCTTAGTTCCCTAAATGGTATCTGAACTTGTGCTCCTTCTAGCTCAGCCTTCCTGAGTGCTGGGATTATAGGGATGGGTCTACATTTTTTCCATCCAAATTCATGGATCACTTGATCTCAATACCCCTGGGCCCTGGTACTTGGGAGAAGGCAGTCATGGATTCAGGGAGCTGGAGAGTAGTTACAGCCCTTAGTGGGGGTCTAAATAATCCCAGTCCAGTGTCCCCTCTGTGGTCTTTCTGCCAAGCCCTCCATCTGCTGAGACCCGATGGGAGCCAGGTGGGTATTAGCCAACTGGGGCAAAGAGCTGATGGGGAGAAGGAGGTGGGGGCCCTCAGGAACACAAGCCACTTCCTCTAGGGGCTCTGATCCCATGGGGTTCTAGTAGGTCCACTTCTTTTTGTACCAGGGATCGAACTCAGGTCCTTGTGCTTGCAAGGCAGGTGGCAGAACCACTGAGCTAAATCCCTGGCCCCAGGTCCACTTCTTGAGTGAGCTCGGCACCCTCCCCCAGAATACTTGGCTGGACACTGACAGCCCGCATTGGTGACTCAGTTCTCTTTTTCTCTGTCTCCTAGCCCAAGCCTGACCAGCCCCAGTACTCATTGACCTGTTTGTTTGTTTGGGGGTTTTTTTTCAGACAAGGTCTCCATAAGTTGCCCAGGCTGGGCTCAAACATGCAGTCCTCCTGCCTCAGCCTCCGAGAGTGTGGTGATTACAAGCATGAGCCATCACGTGAGGCACAGACCCGTTCTCAAGCTATGTTAGCACTCTCAGCTCAGGCCAGCAAGGTGGCAGCTTGGAAGCCACCCTAATTCTTCAGGGTAGGAGCATGCAAACTTGGGTGTATATTAGAGACATCCTAGGCGCTGACCCAAAATCCCCTGTTGGGCGCCCCACAGGGCTTCTGATTCAGTGGGCATGGTCTTGCCCACCCCTGTGCACGTCTACCACTTTCCACGTGAGGCTGGTGCAAGGGCCACTCAGAGAACCACTGCTTTGAAGAGGTCCTGCACACCTCTGCTCCAATAGAGACTCGCCAGGCTGACGGTCAGAGCAGTGGATTGATTCCTTGCTGCAGCTCCACAATGCACCTTGAAGCCCTCGGGCCAGAGGGCTTCCGGTAATGCAGAAGTTTTAAACTTTTAGGCCTTCAAGCCTTGAGAATTCTCACAGGCCCTTGTTTTGTTCCTATTTACCCAGAAACAGGCAGATCCACAACCCATCCCAGTGAGTGATACTTTATATAATCACAGTGTAAGCCACCTCTCTCTCTCTCTCTCTCTATATATATAATATATATAATATATATATGTATATCCTGTTAGCTTTAGTGTTCAGAATATGTATTCTGCTATGTCCTGTTAGCCTGGAAAATGTATCCCGTTAGCCTCAACGTTCACAACGTGTATCCTGTCGCGTTCTGCTATGTGAAAATCCTGATCCTAAAGAAAGCCCCAACCTCAAGACAGGTATGATATTGCCCATCCCAAGCCCACCCCAACTTAAACTACTGCATAAAACTCCCCCATTCTTTTATTCCGGGGCCCAAGTCTTTACGGAGCACCCAGCTCCACTGGGCCGGCCGGTCAATAAAGCTTTCCTCCATGTCTTTTGAGCGGGTTTGTCTTTCCCAGTCCAGATTTCCTACAACACTGGGAGCTGCTGAGAGGTCTCACTGTGGCCCTGATTGCTGTAGTCTTCACTTTGGTCCCATAGGCAGAGCAGCCGTCACTTTCTCCATCCCAGGAAGTTTTCCTGAGCATCTGAGCTCTCTCCCACCATGGAAGTCTGCCAAGCCATCCTTGATGAAAGATCAATCAAGGAGGCAGTGCACTGGGAATGAAAGCCGGAGTTGGCCGGGCGTGGTGGCAAACACCTGTAATCCTAGCACTGTGAGACTGAGAGAGGAGGATGGAAAGTTCAACCCCAGCCTGAGCAATTTAGCAACTTACTATCCAGACCTCAGGGCCTTGGCACTTGCTGCTCCCCCTGCCCGAAGTGTTCTTCTCTCATCGTGATATTGCAATAAAAAGAAAGAGTAGCTTTTGGTCTCCATCCTGGCTCCTGGACAGAGCGCCTAACACCCCTGTAATTTCCTAAGAGACAAGGGTGAGAAGAGCATCTTTTGTCATTCTCAACAAGCCCCTTTCACCCACCTCTGAGTTCCTGTTGATAAGGTGACTTTGGAAAGCCCTGACATTGGTTGGTAGACTGGTTGTCAAGGGAACAGCCCTGTGATTGGGAGTTGAATGTTTAGCCCCATCCGTTGGCCTCCAACCAAGGGCGAATGAATGACTCCCTGGGCCTGCGTGCTGAGGCCTCTGCACACCCGGACACCAGAAGGAGGGACTCAGAGAGCTGCCAGGTTGGAGCACTGGGTGCCCAGCAGGCAGGGGTTGGCAAGGGCTGGGAGCTCTGCACCTGTCCTCAGTACCTGGCCCTGGGCATCTTTTCTCTCCGCTGCTCCTGAGTTGCATCCTTTGTAATAAAACAGCAAACACCAGAGTTCCCTGAGACACCTAGCAAATTTCTGAACCCGAGGCGGGGCGCATAGCTGCCCCTGATTTACAACAGATTGGCCCGAATCACAAGAGGCCCCGTGTAGGGTTGGCATCTCAACTGGGGGCATCTTGCGGGACTGACCCCTTTTAGTGACAGGGTTAGTAGACAGTGTTAGAACTGAATTAAATTATAAGACACCCAGTAAGGATTGGTTGGTGCAGGAGAATCCCCACATGAAAGGCTCTGAGTGTGAAGAAAAACAGTAAGGTGGGCCTGATGGTGTACACCTGTAATCCCAGCACTCAGGAGGCTGAGGCAGGAGGATTGCTAGGAGTTCAAGGCCAGCCTGGGCTACATAGTGAGCTCAAGGCCAGCCTAAACTACACAGCAAGACCCTGTCTCAAAAGAAAGAAAAATGATATATTTTTTCTTTTTACTCACATATCCACATGGCTTGTTCCCTGCCCTCATTAAAATCTTTGCTCAAATATCAGTCTCAGAGAAGCCTTCCCCCACCACCCTATTCAAAACTGCAGTCCACAAGAAGCGCATACATCTGCCCTTTTCTGTCTTCCATAGGCACTCATGGCCTTTACCATACTTTATTTTTATTGCCTCTCTTCCCCACTTAGGATGACCATGAGGACAAGCGTTTACTTGTTTCATCAGGCCTAGCAGCATTCCTGGCATCCTGGGATAGAGAAAGTATTCAGGGAATGTTTGTTGGCGAGGCATGATGGCTCATGCCTGTAATGCCAGCACTTTTCGAGGCTGACACAGGAGGATCCCAAAGTCAGCCCAGCCTGGGCAATGCAGCAATTTAGTGAGATCCTGGCAATAAACGGATGAAGGTTCTGGGGCAGTAGCTCAGTGTGAAGTCCCTGGTTCAATCTCCAATACAAAGAGGGAGAGAGACACAGAATTTGTTTAAGGAACAAGAAAATAGAGAAGTGCCGGCCCCGCCCTGAGCCCGAGGCAGGCTGCAGTGCCCTACAGGGGAGAGCAGGGGTGAAAGGAAGAAGTCCTGAAGTGAAAGTGCCCCAGGGTCCCCCATCGTCCCCCAGTGTCTAGGTCCGGGAGAGGGCGCGGGAAGTGAAGACAGCTTCCCTAGAACTGGGGGGGGGTGAGCAGCCCTGCTGGGGTCTCCGGAGGGCCCCCACAGCTTGCCGAGGCGAGGCGCTGGGCAGGGACCCGGGACAAGGACACAAACGAGGGTCGCTCTGGGCTCCCTGCCCTGGAAGCTATGAGCCAGGGTGGCCAAGGGGTAAAACTGTGCTGGGGAGGTGCTGGTCAGAGGCTGCTAAGGCTGAACGCATGGTGACCAACGCAGCACACACACACACACACACACGCACACACATGCACCAATGGCAGCCTCTCAGTACCGCTTTCAGTTCTTCCAAAGAACCTCCTTAAGGCCGGGGACGTAGCTCAGTGGTTCCACTGCCTGCCTCTCAAGCAGAAGGACCAGAGTTGGACCTGAGTTCGATCCCGGTACAAAAAAACCCCCAAAAATCTCCTTAAAAGCGAGGCGTGGTGGCACACACCTTCATCCCAGCACTGGGAAGTTGAGGCAGGAGGATTTGTTGAGTTCTAGGCCAGCCTGGGCCACACCTCGAGACCCTGTCTCGGAAACCAAAAAAACAAAACAGAACAAATCTCCTTAAATCCTCAAATTCCTAAGCTCTGCCAATCTTACTAAAGATTTCATAGGAGGTAAGAGGAAAGAGTGACTTTGTCCTTCCTAAAGCAAACAAATTAAAATCCTTCCTGGAGCTTGGGACTTGGAGGCCAGCCTGGGAAACACAGGGAGACCCCATCTCAAAACTTAACAAAAACAAAAAAACAAAGGAATTGTTATAAAGAATCAACTTGTCAAAAAACAGGCTCTTTGTTGTGAGAAAAAAGTTTAGTCCAGTGAACAGGGACTAGGAACAGGGACGAGAATCAGGAGATTCTAGCAGCTGGCTGGGAGAGATTTCATCTGGGAGTGGATGGGCTAACACTAGGAGAGAGAGATTAGCAATTAATTGGGAAAGGAATTAGGTTTTGAATCTGTAGGTTTTGAATCTGGGGTGAAATGTTTATGGCTTGGATGCCCAAGGACAGTCTGCTCAGGTGTGTGACAGCTACTGGACCTCTTGGTGTGTGGTGCACTGTCGACTCATCTTGAGTCCATTTGGGCTGTTTAGTGAGAAGCTGCTGTTTGCTCTGTGAAGCTGGTTCAGGCCAGGTCCAGCAGGAATCTGGACTCCGCTGGACCTTACGCCCCTCCCCTTCCCCCTGGGGTGCTGGTGTCAGCAGAAGCTGAAGGGGAAGTGAGGCCTGAGGGGCAGCAGGAGTGAAGGAAAGGGGAAGTTTGGGAGCCAAGCCTTGAGGAGCCTGGCAGGAAGGAGAGCAGGAGCCCACGAGACCTGAGACCTGGTCCATCTCCCTACGGCCTCCAGCATCTCCTGAGCTATGAGCCAAGCCAGGGATTTACAGGGTAGGGAAGTGGACAGCAGGAAAATGAAGGGAACAAGGACCTGGGGACCCAGCAGGGCAGCTAGAGGGTTCCGAGGGCAGACTGGGGGAGGCCCTGGGCTTCTCCAGGGACCAAGCAGGGGCGCAGGTTGATTAAACTCTGTGACCTTTAGGAGGAAAAGCTTTTGGGCTGCTGAAGGCCCAGCAGGAAGAGAGGCTGGAGGAGATCAACAAGGTAACAGGAGGAGCGGAGGGGCAGAGCCTGGGGACAGGGCGGGGTCCTGCATGAGGGCCGGGGTCCACCCTGGCTCTTGGCTCCCCCAACAGCAATTCCTGGATGATCCCAAATACAGCGCCGATGAGGACCTGCCCTCCCAACTCGAAGCCTTCAAGAGTGAGGGGGTCACTGCAGGGTGGAGAGGGGGCTCAGGTCGGGTGGGAGCCCCTTGAGTCCACAGCATGGACTCAAAAACATGTGCACTTCTGCGGTGGGACACCAGAGCCACCTCCACTGTCCCCTCCCATCCCTGGCTGCCCCTCCTGGCATCGTGCCCAGTTTGACAGGGTCCCCAATCCCCCAGCCCCGCTTCCTATGCTTGCCCCTTCTCCCCGCCGCATCTCCTCCTCACTGACCCCCTGCCTCAGCCCAGCCCCTGCTAACCCTGTCTGCTGTCCCTCTCGCTCAGGGAGATACATGGAGTTCGACCTGAATGGAAACGGAGACATCGGTAAGGAAAGGGCAATGTGGGGCTTGCGAGGGCCTAGGCAGAAGCCCAGCTCTCCTGCCTGCTCCAGAGCAGCAGGAGGGGGCAGGAGCATGGACATGAGGGAGGAGAGAGAGAGGCTCCCCGTCTTCCCTCCAGATATCATGGCCCTGAAGAGGATGATGGAGAAACTCGGGGTCCCCAGGACCCACCTAGAGCTAAAGAAATTAATTGGAGAGGTCTCCAGTGGCTCTGGGGAGACGTTCAGCTACCCTGACTTTCTCAGAATGATGCTGGGCAAGAGATCTGCCATACTCAAGATGTGAGGCTCCAGTTCCCACCTCCCCGACACCTACCTGCTTTCTTCTACAGGCCCAGCCCTGCCCTGGTCCCCAGCCTCAGCTTCTGTGCATTATTCAGAACCTGCTCTTACACCCCACCGGGGCCCCTCCAAAGTCCTGTCCCCAGCGGTGCCCCATCCACGATTTGGTCCCCGCAGCCCCAGCCACTGCTTCCCTCCTCTCCCTGCCATCCCTGCTCGCCTCACGATTCTCCCACTTCGGGTTCCCCTGACAGAAGCACCCCCATGGCTGTGTCTCTTCTAGGATCCTGATGTATGAGGAGAAAGCAAGAGAACAGGAGAAGCCAACCAGTAGCCCCGCCAAGAAAGCTATCTCTGAGTTGCCCTAATTGCAGTGTGTGTGTGTGTGTGTGCGCGCGCGTGTGTGTGTGTGTGAATCTGTGCACGGTGGGACTGAAGGGCTTTTAATGACCCCACCATGGAAAAAGAAGACAAAATTGTGAGCCAGGGTCAAACTACACAAATTATCTTCCCCTTCCAGATCATGTCAGCTTTGTTTTTATTTGGGGGACTTTTCTCCTGGGTTTGGGGAGGAAAGAAGGGTCTTTGAGGGGAAAAGAGCAAAGATTCGCCCAAATAAATCATCTATCCACAATTTTGTGTGTCTACAGCAAATGTTTCCGTCCCCTAAGGTGGATTCCACAAGTGTAAGATAATTCTGATCTCAAGAAATTGATGTAGGATTTTTTGTTTGTTTTGTTTTTGGTGATACTAGGGATTGAATCCAGGGCCTTTGCACTAAGCTACATTCCCAGCCCGTTTTATTTTGACTCGAGGTCTTGTTAAATCCCTATGTTGCACAGGCTCATCTTAAACTTGCAACCCTCCTGGCCCAGCCTCCCAGATTACAGGCATGCACCACCATCACCACCTAGGTAGGACATATTACTCTTTTATTAGTATATTACTCATAAGTAGTAAGGGTTACCTTGAACCAGCAGTTTCCACCACAACAAGCTTTGTGGCTTTGACAAATCCCTCACTCTGAGTTCTTTCTTTCTTTCTTTCTTTCTTTCTTTCTTTCTTTCTTTCTTTCTTTCTTTCTTTCTTTCTTTTGTGCTGGGGATCCAATTTAGGGTCTTGCACATGTTAGGCAAGTACTGTGCCACTGAGCTACACCCCTATAGCCCTCTGAAGCTTTTATCTGAGAATGTAATACAGTAGGATCTGTGCTATTATGACTGGCATATCTCAAACCCTTAGTAATGCCTAAAGCTTGAATGAGTGGATGAAAGAGCTAGAATCCACTAAAAGGCCTGATAAGAATTAAAGAAGTCCGGGTGTGGTGGATCAGGTTTGTAATCCCAGCACTCAGGAAGCTGAGGCAGGAAGAACCCTGTGAGTTCAGGCCAGCCTGGGCAATATAGTGAGTTGAAGGCCAGCCTGAACTACAGAGCAAGACCTTGTCTCCCCCGACACAAAATAAATCAAAAAATAAAAATAAGTAAAATATTGCTGCTGAATGGCTTACCATAGCTAATAGATCTGATGTATTACCAGATGGGCTCTGAGGTTTCCCAAGGAGGAGATGGGGACTTCAATTCACTGCATCACAGAATGCTTGGCTCTTGTCACAGATAAAAGAATTTTCAGTCTGTACCAGTAGGGGGCACAGAAAAGACGTATTTGGCAGAAAAATGGTACACAGATGGGGGCACAGGGCTTTGGAGTGAGCTGTACTATGGGCCAGAGCTGCCCAGCCTGGTCTGCACAATGGGTGATCAAGGATGTGCTCTCCTGCTGCAAGTCAGCTCACCCATCCAGGGGCTGCAAGTGAAGATCTGCTGCCCACTAGTGTTGCTGCCTCTGAGAGTGGAGGTCTGTGGCAGAGAGGGTAATTTACAGGTGCAAAGCACATATGCCTACCCAGAGTCCAATTTACAAGTGTGTTGTATTTTGTTTATTGGGCATTACTGGGGATTGAACCCAGGGCCTTCACATTGGGCTACATCCCCTGGTCCTTTCTATTAATTTCATTTCCTTTATTTTTTATTTATTTTTTGGTACCAGGGATCAAACTCCGGACCTTGTGCTTGCGAGGCAGGTAGCAGAGGCACTGAGCTAAATCCCCGGCCCTTATTTTTATTTTTTTGAGACACAGTCTTGCTATATGTAAGCTGGCTTGGAACTGTGTAGCCCAGGCTGGCCTCGAACTTGTGGGAATCATCCTGCCTCAGGGTCCATGTGCTGGGATTAAAGATGTGCACCACCACACTGCTCCCCCCACACCTCATTTTTATTTATTTTTTTCTTTTTTGGTACCAGGGATTGAACTCAGGACCTTGCACTTGTGAGGCAGGCAGTGGAACCACTGAGCTAAATCTGTGGCCTCCTCTTTTTTTTTTTGTACTGGGGATCGAACTTGGGATCTTGACATTTTTTATTTTTGAGTCAGGATCTTGCTAACTCCCTAAATTGTTTAGGCTGAACTCAAACCTGCAATCCTACTTCACCCTCCCAGAGTGCTAGGATTACAGGCTTCACCACAGTGCCTGGCTGCTTGTTATATATTTATTTATATTTTAAAATTAATTATTTAATTAGGTTTTTTGAGATAAGGTCCCATTATGTAGTTCAGGCTGGCCCTGAACTCACTATGTACTCCACTCAGTGCCTCCTGCCTCAGCCTTCCAAGTGCTAGGATTATAGGCCTGTGCCACCACGCCCTGCACTTATTATATCTTTAATGTCCGTAGATAGACATAGACAGAAAGACAAACAGATATTGCGTGCGTGTGTGTGTGTGTGTGTGTTCCTCTGTGGAAAAAAAGCTTGAGGAACTTTTGGGTCCTGAAACTGCAGTTTTTCTTTTTCTTTTTTGGTGCTGGGGATCGAACTCGAGTCCTTGCGCTTGTACAGCAAGCGGCAAAACCACTGAACTAAATCCCCAGCCCAACTGCAGTTTTTCTTAAAAGCACAACTTTAAAATTATGATCTTCCGGCAAAGACCCGAGTTCGATCCCCGGTACCAAAAAAAAAAAAAAAAAATTATGATCTTCCTTATAGGTGCAAATTCCCTATAAGTGTTATCATTATGTATGCCTAAAATGTACCAATAAATGTTTTGCTATAAAAAAATTATGATCTTGTCTTTCTACCTACCTTCATTTCTTCTAATTCAAGGAGAGCAAAGGGTTTTACAGTCAAATAGTAAGAGACAAAGAGGAGAAAATAGTACCGCACTTTGTAAAATGAAACCCATTGTTGAGCGAATACAAATTGTCAATAATCTCAAATATAAAAATCTATTCATAAAAATTACAGGTTATAAAATTAAATGTCCGTCTTAGTCATTGGTTGCCGGTATTTTGATGAAGGGATCATTCCTAGCCTAGCTTTGTTCAAATGTTGCATCTATTATGCAAATAAGAACTCCCCAAAGAACGCCTGTGCTTCTCTAAACCCTTGGATTGGTCTCTTTATCCACCTCATTTGCATGACGCATTTAATAAATGAAAGGCCCCACCTCTGCGGTGCCGTCACCTCTCGCGAAGGAACGCGTGAGCCTGAACTCTTCCAGGGACTAGGTAAACTCCACCCTCTGCTGGCTAAAGCCTCCCGTTGGCCCCGTCCTCTCCGTTTCCGAGGAAAGCACCAGGGTCCTCGTATCTTTTCTTCCACTTTCAGCGCCCCTACGTCTCTCCACTCCGTTTTTTCCACGGACGCACGACGCACACCCCGCCTCTTTCTCCCACCATTCCTCGTGTAAATTGTGCGCCCCAACCGCTCGGCCGACCCGGCGTCGCATTCCCGCCCTCTTTACACGTCTCTCGGCCGACGCCGGGCTCTCCCCCTCAGCCAATCAGCATCTTAGCGTTTTAACTCCCGGCTCTTTATGCAAATAACCCCTGCAAGCTCCGCACAGTTTTTTAAAAAAGGCAGTCCTGGAAGTAAAGAGGAGTAGGCTAGAAAGGGCCCCGCCCTTTATGTAAATAAGGGGCGTGTCCAGCCGCGGAGGGAGGTGGGAGTGGGGGGGCACTCCCGGGGGCGGCGGTTGCCCGGATGGGCCGTTAGTCGGAGCCGAGCCGCGGAGTGAGCGAGGGAGACGGGAGGAGCCGAACCCGGCGCCATCCGCCGCCATCCGCCCCCGCCCCACCGCCATCCCGCCCCAGGGAGCCACTAAGTCCCGGTCCCGGACCCCCGCGCACCCGGCCAGGTGAGTGTGGACGAGCTGAGCGCAGACGCCCTTTTCCGGCGCTGGAGCGGCGGTGGCGGCGGCGGCGGCGTTGGCGGCGTTGGCGGCGTTGGCGGCGGCGGCGGCGGCGGCGGGCCGGGGGGACGAGAAGTCTCCATTAGCCGCCGCCATCTTGTCCTCCTGCTGCCGGCCCTGCCTGCCCCTCCCCCTCCGGCACCCCTACTCCCAGACCCGCACTTCCAGCCCCTCTCTCAGGGTCCGCAGCCTCTCGGTCCCACCCCTGTCCTGGCTTCAGGGCGCGACCCCCCCCCTCGGTCTGTAGCCCCCCGCCCTCCGCTGCGCTCCTGGGCCTCATTGCCATCTGTGGCCCCTCCCTGGCGCCCCGGGGTGGGCCGCTCCCTTCGGACCTCCTCTTGGGGGGCTTCTCGGGATGAGACCCTGCGCCGCGGTCTCCCTGGCTCCCCCATGCGTCGTCACTCCCCCTCTGGAACCTGGCTTTTATCCCGCATCTTTGCCTTCCATTCTTCAGTGGGGACCTCCTCTGCCCTTGCGTTTATTAGCCCGGTCCCTTCCTCCGCAAACCCCCCTTTGCTTCCTCGGTCCCTTCATATTACCCCCTTCCTTTTGCTCCGCACCTTTCACCGCCATTGCAGTTTTCATATGTTGTCTCCCACCTGCTTTCGCGTTCTCATTTTAGTCTGTTCACTCTACGATTCCTCTGTCTCTTTCTCTTTGTATGTTTATTTTCACAGATTGGCCTCCTTAAGTACCTGCAAAGCAATCCACATCCCCTCATCTCCAGCGTGTCACAAAGTTCTGTCTCCCCGGTTTTGGCTTTCATCCTGGACTTGTCTGCTTTCTTCTCACCATCTCCCATCCCTTTCCTTTTGCACTGTTTCCACCCACAAGTGAACCCCTGGTCATTGTAGAATGGACTAAGGATGAAGTTCGGCCTGCTTGGGGAGCAGGACCTATTAGGGAAAGAAATGTTTCCTGATGGATGTTTCTAATGATAGGAAAATGGAAGTTGGTAGTTGGCCCACAGTTACAGGATGTTCTCCAGGTAGCACCCTTAAATGCTCTGTTTTTTTTCAATTCTGTGTAGGTTAAACCAGAGCCACTATTATTTCTTCCGGAGACAGGACTATTCCTAGGAGCCAGGATGGAGGCAAATGTAGGAAAAGACAGTATTTCAAGTACTTGAGTTCTGTAGCCTGGCAGTTTGTACAGCTCTTGTTGTTCCATGAGGATTTCTCAGTTCCCAGTGTGGCAGAGAAAGCTCATAAAATCCTTAAACTCCCAGCATACCTTCCTGCAGAACTCCCCAAATGGGACATAAGGCTGCTGGGAGTGGAACCTGGGCCCGGGGCCCAGGGGCATGATTAAGGACCTGGTGTAATAAGTTGGTCATGTGTGATGGACTTGCATGCCTCTCTCTGATTTTCTCTGGGGCTTGGACTTGCTTGTCCTGTTTTATTGTAGGTCCCAAATTATTTTGGTGGAGAGAAGATTATTACTTTTGACAATAATGAAGAGGCTGTTAGCCTTTCAACACTGGCACAAATACCAGAGCATTTATATTGGGAAGATACACTAGATTTTTATTTGGTTTTTCTCTGTGGGAGGTGTCCAAGAGAAAGAAGGAACATGGCGTTTGGGTGCTGAGTAGACAGTTGCTTAAAGACGCTGGGGAGTTTACATAGGCTGTGAGAAGGTACACTGAAGGGCCACATGTCTGGGCCCTAGTGAGAACGAAGGGGAGCCTGTAGGCTCCTGCCTTAGCCTGTGGAGGGAGCAGAGACTGAGATGCTGTCTGCCCCACAGGCTCCGGCTCGTTTCGGGGGAGGTGCCTGCAGGACCCAACTTACTCAATGAGCTTCCAGCGCAATGTCCGATCGCTCGGGGCCGACTGCCAAGGGGAAGGATGGAAAGAAGTATTCCTCGCTCAACCTGTTTGATACGTATAAGGGCAAGTCCTTAGAGATCCAGAAACCCGCTGGTGAGGGTCCTGCAAAGATGCTTCTAATGGTTGGCCAGGCACGAGTAGGGTGTATGTTAGACTTCTTTGAAGGGGAACCAGAGGAACGCTAGAGACCTCCCACTTTTACCAGAAGGGTCCTGTATGGCTGTTGGGCTCTGGGGCAACACCAGTTACCCTCCTACAAAGGCGTGTCTTCGGTTGCTTGTCTCTGGACACGTAAGAGTTGGAGGCAAAAAAATGTGGATTTGGAGACATCTGGGGCCAGCTTGCTCCCCGCAGGCTCAAGATCAACCATCTCACATACAGTAACCAGTGTAACATATCTCAGCCTTTCCAGAGGGATTTCCAGGACTGTTAGCAAGGGGAAGGGTGGCTTCTAAACAATTTAGAGTAAGTGGGTAATAGGACATCGAGGATGTCTAAATGGGGCGTGGGGTAGGAGGCTGTCAGATCTCCTTTGTGAGGTAATTTTTGATCCTCTCTCTGCCTTTCTTCAGTTGCCCCTCGCCATGGCCTGCAGAGTCTCGGGAAAGTTGCCATTGCCCGGCGTATGCCACCCCCAGCCAACCTTCCAAGCCTGAAAGCCGAGAACAAAGGCAATGACCCCAATGTCTCACTAGTCCCGAAAGACGGAACAGGATGGGCAAGCAAACAGGAGCAGTCCGACCCCAAGAGGTAGACAGAGGCTTGGGAAGCCTTAGAACAATTAGGACTTCTGCTTTGCACTTCAGGATGAATCGAGGCTTGGTTTGGGCCAGCCTCAGTGCCTCTGTATTAAGGCAGAGATAAAGAGGGAGGCACCTTTTGTACTTGTTCTAGGTTTCCTGATAGATGACTAAGAAATGAATCTTTAGTTCTCTTTGAAATGGAGGGAGAGCTTGAAGAAACTGACGATTAAAGTTTTGTTCTAATGTTCTGGCGCCTGCCTCGAAAGCGCAAGTTCCCGAGTTCAGTCCCCAGTACCAAAAAAAAAGCTTTGTCCTAATGTTTGTAAATGGTAGTGAGGGACCTAGAGTCAGTCCCTACTTCCGGTTGGAGAACTAGGGTGGCATCTCATGCTCAAGGTATAATGTTCCCATTCTACTGCTTCCTCAGTTCCGATGTCTCAACCGCTCAGCCGCCGGAGTCGCAGCCACTGCCGGCTTCACAGACGCCTGCCTCCAACCAACTGAAACGACCCCCAGCAGCCCCCGAGGTAATTGGGGAACTGGCAGGGCTGGGGAACAATGGCTTGGAGCCCTGCTGCTCATACTGCCATGTACCATGTATTCTCCCTGCTTCCCTAGAACACTCCTTCGGTTCCAAGCGGGGTAAAGTCCTGGGCGCAGGCCAGCGTCACCCATGGAGCACACGGAGATGGTGAGCACTGTTTGGGGAGCTGTGCCCAGGTTCCACGTAAGCCTGGAGGCCTGCACTGTACTCCTTGCAGTGTCCTTGGTCTGCTTTGGCTGAACCTTGGCCCCTGTACTCAGTATTGGTCTTGTGTGAGGGGGTGCAGTGGTCCCAGAGCTGTCCTTTTCTCTTCGAGAGTGAACACCTGTACTCACTACAGGGCTGAGTTTCAGGGCTGGCACCTGATGGTCTGGTAGCTGTCAGAGCCTTTCATTTTCACAGTACATCCTCAGTACATGTGCCTGGCCCTTCTGGATCCTCATCTCAATAGGTGGAAGGGCATCAAACCTACTGTCGCGATTCTCTCGAGAGGAATTTCCGACCCTGCAGGCGGCTGGCGACCAGGACAAGGCTGCCAAGGAAAAGGAGTCTGCCGAGCAGTCGTCTGGGCCCGGACCAAGCCTCCGCCCCCAAAGTGAGTGGCAGCCCTGGACATTACCTGGTCCATCTCAGAGCTTCTCACCACCACTTTCTCTCCCCTGAATCATTAATCTCTCCCTCCTCTTCTCCTTGTCTCCTTCTCTCTTCCGAGGTGCAGATTCTGCCACTTGGAGGGACGGAGGGGGCCGTGGCCCTGATGAGCTGGAGGGCCCAGACTCCAAACTTCATCACGGTCATGATCCCCGGGGGGCGCTGCAGCCTTCGGGCCCACCCCAGCTCCCTCCCTACCGCGGGATGATGCCGCCCTTCGTGAGTTTGGAAATCTTACTTTGGCGTCCTTCCACCAGAAGCTAGTGTAGGAGTCAAGACTTAGTGTTTGGAGGGCACAGTTAGGAAGCAGGCACCTGTGAGACAGACGGAGGACGATGGGTGGGCGATAGCATCTAAAGGCTGGCAGGCTGTTGACTGCTCCTCTGAGCAGCCACTGTCGGCCGTTTTGCAGATGTATCCCCCATACCTCCCGTTCCCTCCGCCCTATGGACCCCAGGGGCCTTACAGATACCCCACTCCTGATGGGCCCAGGTGAGCGGTCCAGGTCTGGGTTTGTGGTTGGGAGCAGGGGAAGCCTGTTGGGGGAGGAGATGGTTTTCTAGCCCGGAGGCCCAGTTTCATATGTGGTCGTACATCATGCCGTCTTTTTGCTCTTCTCCCCTGTCCACCCATAGCCGTTTCCCCCGTGTGGCAGGTCCTCGGGGCTCAGGGCCACCAATCCGACTTGTAGAGCCTGTGGGTCGGCCTTCTATTCTAAAAGAGGATAACCTCAAAGAGTTTGACCAGTTGGACCAGGAGAATGATGATGGCTGGGCAGGTTAGTGAACATTAAGGATCAAACAGTTGGGTCTTGAAAGGCAAAGTCTGAAGAAATAAAATGGGAAATTGTGTGTGGGAAAAGCAGACACTGAAAGGCAGGGGAGATGTGTGGAAAACAACCAAGTCCTGACACAACGGGAATGAGAACGACAGGTCGTAGCAGACCTAGACTTGTGCAGGAGGGGTTGACATTGATGGTGCATCCTTGTGTGTGGTGCCAGACCACTGTCTGTCTTCTCCTAGGAGGACCCCTGAGACTGACGGTCACGTAGTGTGGATTACAGCTCTTGGTTCTTCCCTTCAGGGGCCCACGAGGAGGTTGACTACACCGAGAAGCTCAAGTTCAGCGATGAGGAAGATGGGCGAGACTCTGATGAGGAGGGAGCTGAGGGCCGGTGAGTCAGGGCCGGGGCGGGGCGGGGCGGGGGCTGCTGCTCTCCAGGTCCGGCACTCAGAGGAGCTGAGTGGGGCCAAACTTAATTCCACTGTTGATCTGCTCACAGCAAGGAGTCCCAACCAGCTGCTGGTGAGGAACGGCCCCCTGAAGCAGATGGCAAAAAGGGCACCTCCCCTGCCAGCGAACCGGCCCCTCCCAAGACAGCCTGGGCAGAGACCTCTCGGCCTCCAGAAACAGAGCCGGGGCCTCCTGCTCCAAAGCCTCCCCCACCCCCACCTCACCGGGGCCCCGCCGCTGGGAACTGGGGCCCCCCTGGGGACTACCCAGTGAGTATCTCAATGAGGGGTAGAGAGGGTCAGTTGTGGGAGGGATCAGCTGAGTGACAGGAAGCTGAAGGGAGGGCTGAAGGTCCGTGGAGTCCAGGGAGCCTGGGTTGCATGTCTGGAAAGCTTGGGAACGTTCTTGGTATAGGGGAGTCTGGGACAGAAATTGGGGTGCTGGTGAGGAAGAATAAGAAGACCTAGGGTCTTAAAGGAAACCAAGAAGAGAAGAGATGGGGATGATGACTTTCTCTCCACTGAGAGAGGCCAACAGCCCCGAGTCCTGATCCTTGGCCCTGTAGCTAGAGACAGTTTGCTGATCTGTGGAAGAGGGGTAGAAAGCATAGTGACCTACTGGCCTGGCCTGTCTGTCTGCCGAGACAGGATCGCGCGGGGCCGCCTTCCAAGCCCCCTGCCCCCGAGGATGAGGATGAGGCCTGGCGGCAGCGGCGAAAACAATCTTCTTCTGAGATCTCCCTGGCGGTGGAGCGGGCCCGGAGACGGCGCGAGGAGGAGGAGCGTCGCATGCAGGAGGAGCGCCGGGCGGCTTGTGCTGAGAAGCTCAAGCGTCTCGATGAAAAGTTTGGGGCACCTGACAAGCGGCTCAAAGCAGAACCTGCTGCCCCGCCTGCTGCTGCTGCTGCTGCTGCTGTCCCCAGCTCCACTCCACCTCCTGCACCCCCCAAGGAGCTCCCCACACTGCCGGCACCTGCCTTGGCACCAGAGAAAGAGCCTGAAGAGCCAGCGCAGCCCCCTCCTGCCCAGGCCACCCCCAGTCCAGGTGTGGCTCCAGCTCCCACTCCGGTGAGCAGTGGTGGCACTACCAGTAACACCAGCAGTGGTGGCGTGGAGGCCAGCCCAGGTACCAGGAAGGACGGGTGCGGGGTCGTGGGGGTTGAGGGTGGGAGTAGACGAAGTGGAAGGCTTGCACTTTGGTGCATCGGATTCTCGGTGCTATGGAAAGGGCTCCTATCATTTGTATGGGTGTACGGGAGAGGAGGGAAGGTTCTAAAACCACTTCTAAGCCCGGCGTGGTGGCACAGGCCTATGATCTCAGCATTCTAGGAGGCTGAGGCGGCGGATCACTAGCTCAAGCCCAGCCTGGACAATTTAGCAAAACTCTGAAACATAAAGGCTAGGGGTCGTAGCTCGGCGTGTAGGCCCTAGGTTCCTTCCCTAGTGCCAAGAAGACTGAGGTGGGGGAGACACATCTATAGGCCAGGATGGAACAAGACTGAGATGTTCTTTTCAGAGTTTGCATAGTAAATTAGTATCAGGACCATTCATTGGGTCTTGAGGTTGTAGAGTGTGATTGTGGCTCTTAAGCACAAGGGATTTCAGTGCAGTAGGGTCAGCCAGACACCTGTGTCTGGGAAGTGAGCTTCAGGACAGGGCTGGAACTCCTGGTGTTCTTGGGGTGTCTTGATGGACTAAGTTATTGTTTCTCGATGCAGTGGAACCCCAGCTGCCTTCAAAAGGTCCTGAACCACCAGAAGAGGTTCCTCCACCTACCACACCCCCAGCCCCAAAAGTGGAACCCAAGAGTGATGGGATTGGCCCTGCCCGGCAGCCCCCCAGTCAGGGGTTAGGCTACCCCAAATATCAGAAGTCATTGCCTCCTCGTTTCCAGCGGCAGCAGCAGGTGAGCTACAGAGGCTTTATCCTGTGCATTTCTCTTCTGGGTTCCTCTGTGGATGTTCAGACCCCGCTGTCCAGGCTGTGGCACATGTGCAGTAGGGCTTCGAGAGCTTCGCACTGCCTTGTTCTTTCCTCAGGAACAGCTCCTGAAGCAGCAGCAGCAGCAGCAGTGGCAGCAGCACCAACAGGGCTCTGCCCCTCCTGCCCCACTGCCTCCGTCACCGCCGCAGCCCGTGACCCTGGGGCCTCCGCCGCCGCCACCGCCCAAGGCCCTGTACCCCGGTGCTCTGGGCCGGCCCCCACCCATGGCTCCAATGAACTTCGATCCCCGCTGGATGATGATCCCACCTTATGTGGACCCCCGGCTGCTCCAGGGCCGGCCGCCTCTGGACTTCTACCCTCCTGGCGTGCATACTTCTGGTGAGAGACCGTGGAGGGCGGGCAGGGGTGGCTAGGGAGCTCTTCCCTTCCGTCCTGGGAAGTAGCTGTTGGGGTCTCACTGACTCTGGTGGGACTGGAGTTACTAGTTGGCTGGGGTTATGTGCTGCAGTTGAGATAGTTTTGTTGTGAGGATGGGATTGGGGAAGAAGGAAACAGTGCTCCTTAGTTGGTAGGGCTTGGTTCTTTCATCATAGGGAAGCCAAGTGGGTGACCCTGTTTCATAAGAGCAGGCAGAGCCTGGACTTACTGGGATCCAGAGGTGGAGATGCTGACGGAACAGAAGACTGGAAGGGGTGCTGCTTTTTGTGAGCGTGAAAGGATCGTTTTCTTACTCCTGTTTCCCAGGCCTTGTTCCCCGGGAGCGCTCAGACAGTGGGGGCTCCAGCTCAGAGCCGTTTGAGCGCCACGCACCCCCTCTCTTACGGGAAAGGGGAACCCCACCAGTGGATCCAAAGTTGGCCTGGGTAGGGGACGTGTTCACCACCCCACCCACAGACCCGCGCCCACTTACCTCACCGCTGCGCCAGGCTGCTGACGAAGAAGATAAGGGCTTACGGTGAGTCTTGGTGCTGGGAGTGGAGGGAGGACTTTCGGGGCCTGGCCTGTGAGTCTCGGGGAGGTGCTAGGGGTGGACAGGAAAGGCCGGCCAGCAGCTGAGAGTTTCGTCCCCACCCCTTGCGGTTCCCTTCGGTCTGACATACTTCCTTCTGTTCTGTTTTGTCTCGTCTTCAGGAGCGAGACCCCTCCAGGGCCTGCCCCCCCCCCCTATCTGGCCAGTTACCCTGGCTTTCCAGAGAACGGAACCCCTGGGCCTCCCATCTCTCGATTCCCTCTGGAGGAGCCCGCTCCCTCGGGGCCCCGTCCACTCCCCTGGCCCCCAGGCAATGAAGACGCTGCCAAAATACAAGCTCCCCCGCCTAAGAAGGAGCCCCTCAAGGAGGAGACTGCGCAGCTGGCAGTGCCGGAAGCAGGCCGCAAGCCCACCCGGGGCCTTGGAGGCCAGGGCCCCGCCCCGCCGCGCAGAGAGAGCCGCACGGAGACGCGTTGGGGCCCTCGCCCGGGGGGCAGCCGCCGTGGGGTCCCTCCCGAGGAGCCGGGGGCCCCTCCCCGCCGGGCCGGGCCTATCAAGAAACCAACGCCACCTGCAAAAGCTGAAGAGCTGCCTCCTCCACCCCTGGAGCAGGGGGACGAGACCCCAAAGGCTCCAAAGCCAGATCCACTCAAGACGGCCAAGGGGAAGCTGGGGCCCAAGGAGACCCCACCCAGTGGGAACCTGTCCCCGGCACCGCGGCTTCGGAGGGACTATTCTTACGAGAGAGTGGGCCCTGCCTCTTGCCGGGGTCGGGGCCGAGGAGAGTATTTTGCCAGAGGGAGGGGATTTCGGGGGACCTATGGGGGGCGGGGCCGGGGAGCCCGAAGCCGAGAGTTCCGCAGTTACCGGGAGTTCCGTGGGGACGATGGGCGTGCAGGGGCGACAGGGCCACCGGGCCACCCCTCTGCTCCCCGAGGCCGCACTGCCAGTGAGACCCGGAGCGAGGGCTCAGAGTACGAGGAAATCCCCAAGCGGCGCCGGCAGCGAGGCTCAGAGACAGGCAGCGAGACGCACGAGAGCGACCTGGCCCCTTCAGACAAGGAGGCGCCCCCGCCCAAGGAGGCTGCGCTCATCCCGGCCCCTCTCGGGGCCCTGCCAGGCGCGCCCCCCTCGCCGGCCCCAGCCCGCTTTCCCGCTGCCCGCGGCGGGCGCGTCTTCACTCCGAGAGGGGTGCCATCGCGCCGGGGCAGGGGTGGCGGGCGGCCCCCTCCCGTCTGCCCGGGCTGGAGTCCTCCGGGCAAGTCCCTGGTTCCAAGGAAGCCTCCTGCGGGCCCTCTGCCCCTGAGTAAGGAGCCCGCGAAGGAGAGGCTGGTCCCAGGGCCTCTGTCTCCCCTGGCCCGTGGAGGGGCCAGCATGGGTGTAGTAGAAGACGGGGAGCGGCCCCGCCGCAGGCGGCACGGTCGGGCCCAGCAGCAGGACAAGCCACCAAGGTTCCGCAGGCTGAAGCAGGAGCGGGAGAACGCTGCCCGGGGGACAGAGGGCAAGCCCTGTCCCCTGGCCCTGCTGGCCTCCCCGCCTGGAGCCGAGGAGCCTTTGGCCACAGTCACTGCACCACCCCCGCCTCGAAGGGCAGCTGCAAAGTCTCCTGATCTGTCGAACCAGAACTCGGATCAAGCAAACGAGGAGTGGGAGACTGCGTCGGAGAGCAGCGACTTTGCCAGTGAGCGCCGGGGTGACAAGGAGACTCCCTCGCCAGCACTTCTGACCCCAAAGGCTGTGGGGGCCCCTGGGGGCAGTGCAGGTGCTGCCGGATCCACCCTTCCTACCGTGTCCCTTGGAGACCTGAGCCAGAGGGCCAAGGATCTGAGCAAGCGGAGCTTCTCTAGCCAGAGGCCCAGCATGGATCGGCAGAACCGGCGTCCAGGCACGGGGGGCAAGGCCGGCAGCAGTGGAGGAGGTCCTGGGGGCAGGACCGGGCCCGGAAGAGACAAGAGGAGCTGGCCCTCACCCAAGAACCGAAGGTGGGGGACTGGCTGCTGGGGGCTCGCCAGGACCTGCAGGCAGTGGGCTCCTCCCAAGCTCGGGCTTCCCTGGGCTGGAAGCACTTGGTGCAGTCAGGTCTCAGTCTGTAGACTGAGGCCTGTAAAACCCAGAGCAGCTTAGAAAGTCGGGTTTGGACAGGAAAGGACATTTGGGTTCAGAGGGGGAGAAATCAGGAGGTGCAGGCTGGACTGGTAGGGAAGGGTCGGTGACAGTCCAGTGAGCCTTGGAGCTGATGCCCTGCCCTGCCCTACCCTGCCCTGCCTGCCTGCTTCCCTTAGCCGTCCTCCAGAGGAGCGTCCGCCAGGCCTTCCCTTGCCTCCCCCACCACCCAGCAGTTCTGCCGTCTTCCGCCTGGACCAAGTTATCCACAGCAACCCTGCGGGCATCCAACAGGCCCTGGCCCAGCTGAGCAGCCGCCAGGGGAGCATAGCAGCACCGGGGGGTCACTCAAGGCCTAAGCCTGGGCCGTCTCAGGCCCCTCAGGGCTCAGCCCCTCGGCCCCCAACCAGATTCGACCCCCAGAGGGCTACTGGTGGCGGCAGTTCCGGTAAGAGGGACCAGGTAGGGCTGGGAAGGTCTCCGTCCCCAGAGGAGGCCAGGTCCTGGGGCCCTGCTGCTGTGACCTGCAGTAAGCAGTGGGGAAAGAATGGGAGGCGAGGGATGGAAGAGCTAGGATGCCCGACGGGCAGAGGCTGATAGTTCTCTTCTCCCTCAGAGCCTCACTTGGAGGAGCCAGGGCCAGTGGTGAGGGAGGCAGGCGGGGCTCCCCAGGACTCTACTGGGGTTGCTGAGCCCTTCCCCCACAAACGGCGGGAACGGGAGCGGGAGCGACCTCGGAAACCAGAGCTGCCGCAGGAGGTGAGGGCCGGGTGGTGCTGCTCTCCCTTGGGAAGACCCTCCGGTGTCCTCACGGCCCCTCCTGGTTCTCACTGGGAGCCTGCGTTGTGCACACATCTCCCTTGTTGCCCCTCTGCCTCGTCCTGTTGCAACTCTGCATTCCCCAGTCCCCTGCTTCATGTCCCCGGCCTTTCCTATCTATAGGAGCCCCTGCCTGCTCCTCACGGCTCTGGCTTCTTGGGCTCAAAGCCCGAGGCCCTGGGCCCTCGGGCAGACTCCAGAGAGGCCGACGCTGAGGCCCTGACGCCTCGCCTCTGGGACCGGCTGCACACTGGTGAGTAGGCGCACGGAGGGGAGGCCTGGGAGGGGGCCGCCAGGGGCTGAGCTTCAGAGCTGTCTTCTGTCCCTGTCCCCGTCCCGGTCGGTGCTCCCCTCCAGCCACCAGCCGGAAGAGTTACCGGCCCGGCTCCGTGGAGCCTTGGATGGAGCCTCTGAGTCCGTTTGAGGATGTGGCTGGCGCGGAGGTGAGAGGGGTGGGCGGGCGCAGCAGCGCTGGGCAGGGCTGAGCTGCCCTCCCTCTCATGTTTCCTAGGGTTGTCTCTGTGTGCGTCTGCTGGGTACGGGGTGCTTTCTACCCTGACCTGTTTCTGTCCTCAGATGAGTCAGTCTGACAGCGGGGTGGACCTGAGTGGGGACTCACAGGTGTCATCAGGGCCCTGCAGCCAGCGAAGTTCCCCTGACGGAGGACTCAAGGGGCCAGCAGAGGGACCCCCCACACAGCCCGGAGGCCCCTCGCCCCTGAGTGCGGTCCCTGAAACCTCGGATCCTCCCAGGAGACGGGTGCCCACGCCCCACGATGGGGAAAGCAAGGTCAGAAGGCCAAGGGGAGGACGCAGAGACAGTCTCCAGCCTCCCCTCGCTGCTGTGCTTGGGGTTCCCTACGTGGCTTTCCCTCTCCTCCCACCGCCTCCACTTGGCTCTGTTCCCCACTCCAGGAGCTGCCCAGGGAGCAGCCTCTGCCCCCCGGCCCCATAGGCACAGAACGACCCCAGCATGTGGACAGAGGACCAGAGCCAGGCCCCCTCCGGCCGTCCCATCGACCTGGTCCTCCAGTCCAGTTCGGCACGAGCGACAAGGTCTGCAGGGGCTGGGCTGAGTGGAAAGAAGGGAAGGACTGCAGGTGGGACGTGGGCGGCACGCGCCTCAATCATGGGGTGCTTCCTCCTCCCTCCCCTCGCCATTCCAGGACTCGGACCTGCGCCTGGGGGTGGGAGACGACCTGAAAGCAGAGAAGGGGCTCACGGCGGCGTCAGTTCCCGAGGTGGGCGGAGCACGTTTGGTGGGAGGCCTGAGGTTGGGGTGGGGATGCTGGGCATGACCTGGCTGGCAGACCTGGCTTGACGAGCCCTCTCTGGCCAGGCCACCCTGCTGTCCCGAGAGTGGGAGCTGCCGCCCAGCGTGTCTGGCCCGGCTGAGCCACAGCCCAAGAACTTGGCTTCCGGGCACTGTGGCCCAGAGCCCAGCTCCTCAGGCCAGCGCCTGTACCCGGAGGTCCTCTACGGCAGCCCTGGGCCGCCCGGTTCTCAGGTGACTCCCACTTTTCACCTCATTCCCCTAGATGAGTACTCACCTTTCTCTGCTCGCTGTCTCATAACAGCCTGAGCTGTTCACTTGTAAAACACCATCGCTCCTCTTGTTTTTCCATTTTTCAGCGCAGTGGGTGGGATGGGTGAGTTTTTCTTGACCAGACACGAGCTCTTGCAACTCTGCTCTTAGGTCTCTGGGGGAGCCCTGGACTCCCAGTTACACCCCAACAATGGAAGCTTCCGCCCTGGCACACCCTCGCTGCACCCTTACAGGTAGGACTCGATAAACGTCTGCACCCCTCACAAGGCCGTGGGGTTAGGGTGCAGGGAGGGAAGGGGAAGACGCAGTGTCAGATGCCAGAGGCTAGTGGATTCAGGGGTTGCTCGGACCCAGTAACTTACTCTGGAGTGGTAACCCAGTCCTCCCCCATTTCATTTTAGGTCCCAGCCCCTGTACCTCCCCCCCGGCCCAGCCCCTCCCTCAGCACTGCTCTCTGGGGTAGCTCTCAAGGGTCAGTTTCTGGACTTCTCAGTGCTGCAAGCGGCAGAGCTGGGGAAGTTGCCAGCTGGAGTTCTCTGCCCTCCGCCTTCCTTCCTCTACTCTCCTGCTTTCTGCCCTAGCCCTTTGCCGGACCCGCCCTTGCTTCAGGTAAGAGCTGGGCAGGCGGGGGCTGGGAGGACGCTTGTAGGGGAGTCGGCGTGCGTCCACCTATTCCCTCGCAGGTACGCCAAGATCTGCCATCCCCTTCGGATTTTTACTCTGCTCCTTTGCAGCCTGGTGGACAGAGCGGCTTCCTTTCTTCAGGGGCCCCGGCCCAGCAGGTACCTTTGATGGCCCCACTTCCCTCTCTCTTTCTGCCCACTTTCCTTCTTTCTCTTCTCCCCAACACCACCTCCCTGGCCCAGTGTGCACACTCTGTGGTCTGTTCCAGATGCTGCTGCCTGTGGTGGACTCACAGCTGCCTGTGGTGAACTTTGGCTCGCTGCCTCCTGCGCCGCCCCCTGCGCCGCCTCCCCTTTCCCTGCTACCCATGGGGCCTGCTCTGCAGCCTCCCAGCCTGGCTGTGCGGCCCCCACCTGCTCCTGCCGCTCGGGTGCTGCCTTCACCTGCCAGGCCCTTCCCCCCAAGCTTGGGGCGAGCGGAGGTAAGGGACAGGGACAGTAGGGCTAGGGATTCCGGGTCTCAGAATGAGGGGTGAGAGGCAGGCGGCTTAGGAATTCTTTCCTTTAGCTGCACCCAGTAGAACTAAAGCCGTTCCAGGATTACAGAAAGCTGAGCAGCAGCCTTGGGGGATCTGGGTCATCGCGTGCTCCCCCGGCTGGAAGGTGAGCTGGGTTGGGGTGCAGACTCCTGTCCCCTGGATTTTACATACGCTGGGGCCAAGGGCTTGGCATTAGCAGGCTTTACACAGCCTTTCTCCCTCAGGTCCTTCCCTGCTCTCAGTTCCCGTCTCAAGGCCCCGCCTGCCACCTACAGCGGGGTATTCCGTGCTCAGCGCATCGAGCTCTACCAGCAGGTGAGGGAGAAGCCCTGTAGCCCCCGTCTCGGGTCAAGAGCTGCCACTGAGTTCCTGATCGAGCACTGACTCCTCCTGCACATGGACCTATCCCTTAGGCCTCCCCTCCGGACGCCCTGCGCTGGATGCCGAAGCCTTGGGAGCGCACAGGCCCACCCTGTCGAGAGGGGCCTCCCCGGAGGGCAGAGGAGCCTGGGCCCCGAGGGGACAAGGAGCCTGGATTGCCCCCGCCCCGCTGAGGGAGGCCCCGGCCCCGCCCCACCCCGGGCTTGTATATAGATTATAAATATATAAGGGGAAAAGGGCGGGCGGGGAGGGGCAGTGGGGCTGGAGCCTCATTTTCCCTCCTTCCCCCTCTCCGTCTCCTATCCCTGGGGCCGTTTGTTAAAAAAGAGTAATAAAATAATTTAAAAAAATATTTCCATGATGATTTGGGGGATGGGTTGGTTGAAATGTCTTGAGTGAATCTGTAAGGCAGTTTCAGTGAGAATGAGAACTTATTCCAGTGATCAGTTAAAACAACCTTAAAACTGGGCAGGCCGTGTAGCTCAGGGGCGCTGTGCCTGCCTGGCAAACACAAGGTCCTGAGTTCAATCCCTGGTACCAGAAAAAATTAGGTTTTGGGGTTGGGAATTCGGGCTGGGCTCAGTAAGGCAAATCTGCTAGCCCCAGCAAGCAAGGCCAGTTGGTTACCAGGGTGCAGCTGACAGCTGGGCTGCTTCCAGCATGGCTTCCTTCAGTCCCCTGGGGTCTTAGTGGGGGTCTGGAAGGAGAATGTCACTCAGCAGTCCCATGGGGATTCTCAAGTCAGTAGGCCTTGTGTGTCCCTGCCCAGTGTTCCAAGAGATACAGGCAGAAAAAGGAAAGGTTGCAGCCCAGCCTTAGAATGTGTCCCACACTTAAGTTACCAGGGTGGGGGTTCAGGCAGGAGTCCCACAGTAAAGGAGCAGCCAGGAACGTGTAGCGGTGCGCATCCCTCCTGGCTGGTCCCGCTGACGAATGAAGTCGGAATTGTCCTCCGCATCTGAGCACCTCTGGGCTTTCTGACCTGGGCACACCAGCTCCAATATATGTGGTCAAGCTTAGTTGAATTTCAAAGCATGTTCTAATAAAACATTCTGTCTGCAGCTGCTCAATTATATGGTGTTGTCTATCACTTAGAATAAATATCTTCCATCTCAGGGCAGAGTTGTGTAAAAATCCAGCCATCAAAAGCCTGAGGGCTAGGGGGTCTAGCTCAGTGACTCCGCCTGCCTCACAAGCGCGTGGTCCTGAGTTTGATCCCCGGTACCAAAAAACCCCACCCAGGGCCGGGGGATTTAGCTCAGTGGCAACATGCCTGCCTCACAAGCACAAGGTCCTGAGTTCAATCCTTGGTATCGCCAAAAAAAAAAACCTTGGACATCACAACATACCACAGGTACACTCACAGGAGATGATACAAACTGTCACAGCCGGCTTGCTGGAGTGCGAATTTCAAGGTAAGTTCACACAAAATGAAGGGACTCAAGACCAAGGCAAGTTGGAGACAAAAAGAGCCAGAAAAACCCGACTTTTATTTCTTAAATACTGTGGAGGAGGAGGGGGAAGTGTTCCCCAGGTGAGTAAAGGCCAGAGAGCAGAGCTAGAGAGCAGAGCTAGGGATCGTCAGCAAAGGCCCGGTGGGCACTGGGGAAGCGCTGGGGACTGTAGTTGGGGTCTTCTTGCAGCCGTTTTTGTATGTCAGACCGGAGCTAGAGAGAGAGAGAGAGAGCAAGCAGGTTGGAAGAGCACTCATCTAGCCACAAGACCCCAGCAAGCATGAGGCCATCCCTCAGGAGCTAGTGCTTCCCCACCAGCCATGACGCGTGTCAGCCCAATGCGTGGCACCACTAAGCCTTCCCAGATGCCACCAGGGGAAACTAGGACATCAATGGCGGCCCACTTCACCTCTGAAGGATCCAGGAAGCGGGACCCTAGCCCAAGCCCTCCCACTAGACCATCCCTATTCTGCTTCCGGGTGGGGGCACCTGCTGCCTGTAGCTCTCCTGAACCTCTGGTGCCTCCAGGTCTCGGCTCAGGCTCTCAGGGCTCGTCAGGGGCCGAGCTCCGGCTGCCTTAGCTGCCCGGCTCACGGCCTCTGAGAGAAGCAGCTGGGGGCCCTCACCCTGCATCGTCTGGGGGACGGGGTTGGGAGGGAAGAGAGGATCGACGTCAGAGCCAGTGCCACCACCCAGCTCACCCTCTCCAGGAGTCAACCCCTGAGTCTATGCCAGTGGAGAAGAGCCACAGTCCACATGTACTCGACAGCAGAAGCACTTTCCTAACTGGCTCTGGCCAAAAACAGTGCTGCCTTGCTCTTCAAAGCAAGAAGGGCCAAGTGGGTCAAGCCATTTTGGGGATTCCAAGCTAGCTAATCCACAAGACCAAGCCCACCTCCAGGAGGACTCTAGCCACTTGGCCTCAGGCAGCTGCCGAGGGCCGGGGCAGGAGCACTAGCCAACAGTAAGGTAAAGCACAGCGTGGACTTGCACCAGCTATGCGCAGGTCCGAGTGAGTTCCCAAAGGTTTCCTCATTAATGGGGGGACCGAGCTGGTAAGAACTCCTTCCAGCTCTACACAGCTGGTTCTCAGCACAGCAGGGAGCCTGGGTAGAGAGGGCTCCTCAGGGAAGAGGCAAACGAACCTTGCGTCTCTTGGCAGGCATACCACTGAGGTAGGCATCACTCAGGGGCGGCTGCGGTTTCACCTTCCGCTGGCTCTGAATGTCCTGCTGAATAATAGGGACCCATTCCTGGGGAGAGAAAGATTGGAAAGTAATTCCCACAGCCTGCAGGGCCGTAACCCACTAGATCACCTCCTGCCACTTACTGGGGGAACTGCAGCTGCCCAAGGTTCCGTCTCAGCCGCAGCTCCATCCTGGTCCTCTCGGGAGCCCCCTTCAGGAGCAGGGGGTGGCCCCCTGGACATGACCTCCTCTGCCGTTGTTCCAGGGGCTGGGGAAGCATTCTCCCGCTGGCAGCCAGACAGTGGGAAGATCCAGATTTCAGAATCCCCAGCCTCGAGCCCTCCTCTCCACATCATCGGCCCCCCAACCTCTCCTTTGTACCTGAGGCTCAGGGGAAGTTCGTTCTGCTCCCTGCACTTCCATTGGTTCCTCAGAAAGTGGCTATGGAATTGGACAGAGGCTCAAATGGAAGCCCCCTCAGACCTCTCAGTTTCCCCGAGTCCCTCCCCCCTAGCCCATGAGGTCCATTACCTGGGGAGGGTCACCAATCCGGCGGACGTATCTGAGGATGGCGTCAGGACCCACAGGCATATGCTCCAGGACCACCTGGAGCCTCAGTCCCATCATAGTGGTCAGCCAGCTCACCAGGGACGGGTTCACCCCTCGAGACATGCGACGCTGCGGGCAGAAAGCAGACTTGGAACACAAGCCCTCAGCTGGCTTTTATAATCTATCAGATCCAGCATAACAGGTAGTGGTTTAAAAAGGAACAAAAGCCGTAGGACACCAAAGGAAACGAGGCTAGGGACCAGGGCTTGGGTGGTGCTTACAATCCGGCCGTTGATGACAGCAGCAAGCTCCATCTGCTGTCCCCCCAAGCAGTGCAGGTTCAGGGCCAGGCATTCAAACAAGCCTTGGTTACACAACTCCAGCAACCGGGCTCCAAATCCACTGTCTGCGGGAGAGACAGAGGAGGGATGCTGGCACCAGCGGCACCACTCACCCAGCGTGCCTACGCACCCTAGCTGGACGGCCCCTGACCTGTGCAGTGCAGCACATGAGCAGCAATGCTATTAAACTGTTCCTGGAGGAATTCTAGGTTTGTCCGGATGATGTCCACACCTGGCTGAACCTGTACCAAAGACTGAGACACAAGACACAAAGAGATCTGCAAATCAGGAACCCAGAGGTGGGCAGAGGATGAGACAGCGGGGAGCAACAGCTGCCCTGCTCAGGCCCAGGAGAGGAAGGGAGACAAGCCATACTCACAAAGCTCTCCCGCACATACTCTTCCAGCCCAGTGATCAGTGTGTGGGTTGCCATCTACGGGGAAACATCACAGGTTTATTTCCAAGCCTTGGTCCTCAAGACTCCCCCTCTACCCCAAGAAGTCCAGGACTCGGGCTGGGACTGCTGATACATGAACAGGTGGAAGGAGCAGAGCTCTGGAGCCCCAGGCCTTCATTTACCCGGATGTTACCAGGGGTGGGCTCCTGGCCACCCAGGTAGTGCTGGTGGAAGAAGGATCGCAGCTGGGGCTGGAGCCGCTGCAGTGGCTGGAAGTGCCCATGGAGCAGCATCACCACGTCTACCATGGAGAAGTTCTGGCACAGGAGAGACAGCAGGGCCCCAAAGAACCCTGGCAACCGGGACAGAAGTCAGCAATGGCCTCCACCACCTGGCCTGCCCACCCTCGCCCCAACCAGTCCATCAACCTCATCCCATCGTGCCATCAGCCCTGAACCTGGGCCCGCGGGCTCTCCCGGCTGCTTTCGAGGCCTCTTCCTTTTGCTTACCAAGGGCCCCATCAGCTCCGGGCTCAAAGATGTTGCTGGAGCCACTGAGGCGTTGGATGAAGGCAGCGATACTTTCACTGCTGCCAGCCCGCGCCCCCAAGGAGCCCAAGAGGGAGCTCAGCACACCCTGCACCACTGAGGTAAAAAACTCCGGTGGCAGGCTCTCAGGACCTAGGCTCCCGGGGCTCCCTGAACCACTGGAAGGGGAGGCCGGTGGGGGCATGGTCTGCTGCTCTGGGGCTGGGGGTGGGGGCGGAGGAGGCGGTGGGGTGGTCTGTGTTGCCTGCCGAGAACAGAAAGAGTAAACAACAGGAGGCAAGGACAGGGACAAAGACATAAAACAGGGCACTAAGCGACAGTGGTCCAGGAAATGAGAAGCTTTACTCTGCTCTTCATTCCTTATAGCAGAATACATACGGACAAGTATGCAGCTTCAGTCAGCCTGAGCCAGGACCTCTCTGTGCAGGTCAGGTCAGACAGCAGTGACCCACCTCCTGCCTCCCTCTCCTACAGCCTTGTTTTTCTTATCTCCAAAATGGAGGGTTCTCAATCGGCCAATTCCCTTTCCCTGACAACATGTGTAGTGGCTGTCACCCAGTGGCTACAGGATGACAACAAAGCATCACTGCTTGGCTGAGCTGGGGGATGGGAACAGTAAGAGGACAGGCAGCCAGCCACTGACCTGCAGGAAATCAGTCATGCCCTGGAGAAAGGCTGGGACACCAGGCATCGCCACGGTGATGGTGGGGGAAGCCATGCCAGGCCCGCCAGCCCCTGAGCCTGCAGGGCCCAGCAGGTTGCCCAGGAGCTGAGAAAACTGAAGGTCGGCCGTAGAGGGCTGAGGGGGCGGAGGCTGGGCAGGCCCCCCAGGAGCAGGGCCCGCTGTGGTGGCTGTGTTGGTGGTGCCCGCGCTGG